GGGGGGGGGGGGGGGGGGGGGAGGGGGGAAATTTTGGGCGGTCCCAAAAGTAGCTAACATTGATCGATGAACATCCTATAAGTTTCGTTTCAAAATATCAATTAGGTAAAATTTTAGAAGGGGTGGAAGGGACTATTGGGACACCCTGTATAGGGTGATCCAAAAGTCCCTTCCACCGCCTCATACTTTTTATCTAATTGAGGTAAAGATTTGCAACTTGGGGGATGTTTTTTGGTCAAAGGGAGCTAATTTTAGGCCCCCTAAAATTTTCAAGGGGCTCCCTTGAGGGGGCAACGAGCTCCAACTTTTTTTTTTCAAATAGGAAGACCCCTTTTGTGATGCTTCGTTCGAAAGAGCATAAAAAAAGAAAACTTCTCCCTCAAACCGAAAGTCAATATCTCAAACTGTTTAAAAATGGCGGTCGGTTAAAGTTCGAAACGGCCGGAAATTGGCACCTCGGTTTTTTTTCGATGGATTTGCGCGAAAATCGGTTTCCAGGGATATTTCAACACGAGAAAAACAAAGTTAATGTTAGATTTTTAAAAACACCAAAATCTCAAAAATAGCCGCCAGTTAAATTTTAAAATGGCGGAATTTTTTTTTTTAAAAAATCTAATTTCAAATGTGATAATCTCATGCCAAAATACCCCAAAGTCCCAGGTTTCAACAAATCCATCGGGAAAAAACTGAGTTGGCAATTTTTGGTCATTTTGCGCTTGAACCGGCGGCCATTTTGGAAATTTCGTTTTTTTTTTAAAAAAAAAATCTACCGTCAAATTCGGTTTTCTCAAGTCAAAATACCCCCTGCTTCCAATTTTCGCAAGAATCCGTTGACAAATAATCGGTGTCAATTTTCGGCCATCTGGAACTTTAACCGGCTGCCATTTTGAAACGGTTTAAGATATCGACTTCCGGTTTAGGCAAGAAGTTTTCTTTTTCTAAGCTCCTTCAAACGAGGTATCACAAAAGGGGTCTCCCCATTTGAAAAAAAGAGTTGTAGTTCGATGCCCCTCATGAGAGCCCCCCTTAAAAGTTTAGGGGGCTAAAAAGAAGCTCCCTTTGACCTAAGAACATCCTCCAAGTTGCAAATCTTTACCTCAATTAGGTAAAAAGTTAGAGGGGGTGGATGGGACTTTTGGATCACCCTGTATGAACCAAAGTTCTTTATCACAAGTGGGGGTTGCCGCATAGAGAACTGTAGCGACCGTGGCCCCCTCAAAGTAGTCCCCTTGACATTTTGAAGGTCATCCAAAAGAAGCTTCCTCTACCTCACTGGTAAAAATGTTCCATACGCTTACATGGAAATCAGCCGCATGGAAAATTGGGACGGAAACCGGAATAATTTCCAGGCGCATATGACATGGAGACCAACTTCATAGAAATTAGTCTCATTTAAAATGTTAAGGAGAGTGGTTGATGAAAAAGAGACACCCCGACTGATTACTTAAGGTAATAATTTTCGAAATCATGAAAAATGAAATTAAATGAACCACTGGGAGTCCATGTTAGCGTTATCGTAGGTTAGAATTTTTTGCCTGCATCGGGGATTAAACCTGGGTCCTACCTAACACTAGTCAAAGACCCTACCGATTCATCTATACCGAACGATGAGAATGGGAGCCGAAAAAGCTGAATTTAACTTCAATTAGAACGGATAACTAGGATGTTTAGGATATAAGCATATTTGTTCGTTTTTAAAAAAATATTTTATTTCTACTTCGTTTCATTTCTTAACTTCACTTAAATTGTTTACTTTGTTTCATTTTTTTACTTTATTTCATTTTTTAACTATTTTTTAACTTTACTTTTACTTTATTTTATTTGTTTACTTTATTTTATTTTTAACTTTATTTTCTTTTATTATAGGTAGGTATTTTTTTTTACTTTATTTTTTTCTTTATTTTTTTTTTTACTTAATTTTTTTGGTTTACTTCATTTGATGTGTTTACTTTATTTTATTTGCTTACTTTATTTTATTAGTTTACATTACTTTTTACGTTTATCATATTTTATATATTTACTTTATTTTATTTGTTTACTTTATCTTATTTTTCAACTCCATTTTTTAACTTTTGTTTATTTGTTTACTTTCTTTTATTTTTTTACTGTAGGTATCATATTTTTTAACTCTATTTTTTTAAACTTTTCTCTCTTTGTTTACCTCATTTTATTTTCTTACTTAATTTTTTTTTACTTTCTTTCCTTCGTTTGTTTCTTTATTTTTTTTTTTACTTTATTTCATTTCTTTACTTACTCTAATTATCTTTAATTTTATTTTTTATACTTTACTTTAAGGTTTACTTTTTTTTAAATTAAATATAATATTCCTGTATTCACTTTTTAATGGACTTCAAATATAGTAGTGGTAACGATTCCATGCTTATTGCACAGCAAAGAAAAGATTTCTACGCAGACTGCACGGCAAGGATTACAGTTCCATGCAGATTGCATGGGATCGAAAACGCTTCTGTGCTGCGAGGAAATCACCTGAGTTCCGTGATGCGTGGAAATCTCATCATTTTCATGCAAGCTAAGTCCTTTTTGCGTGGAAATTAAGTGGTTTCAGTGCAAATGCGCATGGAACATATTTACCAGGGCTTACAAGCACTCCCAAAATTTTGAGTCTTAATTTCAATTTTTATAAAGTAACAGGATCACCTTGTATGGACCAATGGATTATAACTTAATTGTATGAGACCTCTAGCTCTTGATCCTATTTCTTAATGTTGGTTAAAATCAGAACACCAGTTGAAACGAGTAGGCAGATGCTGTACTTACATACTAAAGTAAAGAAATAACTGTTACCTAAGAATGTAAGCAATAGATACGGGAGCCATCCAGTCAAAAGAAACCTTCAAAGTTCAGACAATTACGTTTATTACGTAGGTAGATTCTAATAAGTACCTAAATAAAATTGATGCACTATGGCACAGGCACATGACACATGGCACATTGACTATTTTTGCATCTTCACCGTAACTTCCCCATGCTGGAAGGTTTTTCAACTACAATACAATATCTACACAAACATTAAAAAACTGGCAACGATGTGGTACTTACACTTACCTCCGCGTTGAGGACCGACTCGTCTAGGAGGGCATAGAGCTCCAGATTTTTCAGGTGGATCTGGACGTTGTACTCGCCAGTCTGACTCTGATCGAACTTGACCGAGGCACCGCTAACCTTGCCGACCCTGTCGGTGACGCTGACCGCCAACCAGGCGCAACACAATCGCAACAACATCGTGACAGTGTGTGAGACCCGCCGTGGACCGAAGCTAAGCCGGTCGATGAACGCGAGGTGCGGGTTGCCCGCCTTGGGAGCTCCCTTGCGAGATCGCACGTAAGCAAACACCACCCCAAGCAATTTCAAGGAGACGTTGCGCGTTCTTGGTAGTTCTTGATGGGAGCCTCGAGTACTGTTAACTGAAAGCTCTTTCAAAATTCTTTCGNGGGGGGGGGGGGGTTCTGGCACTCCTTACGAGAAGTGAAGAGGGGTCTCCGATTATGATGGTGGGAGAGGAGTTTTAATTACAGTCAAGGGAAGGGAGCTAAATTAGTTGTGGGTATACACTGAGTTTGCACGAGTGTGTCTTTGGAGATTTCCGGGGATTAAGATGGGAAGGCGTGACTGTCGATGAAAAGGCACGACATGTGGCGACCGGGCCGAGTCTCGGACTGGGGACTCGGTGGCCGCTAAGACTGATGACGCCTTGTGGCAGGACCCGACCGGGACACGCGAAAAAGGACCCAAAGACGCAACTAGCGGATGACTAACGCCCAGGCATCGCGTCGCTGCGACGCGACGTGACGCTGCTGCTGGCTCCGTTCGCTTCTCTTAGCCTCTGACACACTAAGACGGCAAGGCGCGGCGCGGAGAGGCGTCGTTGCGCTCGCAGGACGTCGCGCAGATGCCAGATGGCACCTTGCAAACTTTTGATACCCGAGGACAGAAAATAATGGACCGACAGGAGAAGAGGCACGAATTTAAGCCATTTAAGCATCCTGATTCAAGTTTCTTATTTCTCAAAACCAGGAACCAAGTCTTCCTTGGACCCCAGTTTTTTTATTTACAACTAGCGGAAAGCCCGTGACTGAAGTCACGGGTCTAGATGCTTCACCAAAAATTTAGTTACGGGGAGTATTAGGCCGATATTGTTTCGGGGATGATGCCACTATTCGACCACATGGGAGCTTATTTTGCCTGAGTGAGCGTGCCATTTCACGACGATGCCGCTTTTCGACCACGCGGAAGCTCCTGTTGCCTACACTGAAATTCAGGGCGAAATGAAATGACGTTAATTTATCTTTTCCGGTTTGGTGGAATGCTATTTTTTAAAAACGTTCCAAGTAATCGTGCAATTTTACGATGAAACAGCTATTCCACTATTTCCACGTTCTTATTTTATTTCAATCTCCCTCTCACTGCTTTCTTCTTTTTTACTTTTCATTTCCTCTGTCTGTTTGCTTCTCCCACTTTCATTATCTTCTGCTTCTCTCTAAATTTATTCTAGCTTATTTTCTTTCACTCTTCTTGTTCTGCATTATTCGTTGTTTTCCTTTTTCTTCATGGTCATCATCAGCATCAGCATCATAATCATCATCCTCATCTCTCTCTTTTAGTGTTCATGTGCTCGGACGGGAAGTAAAAAAAAAATAAAAACAGCTCAATGAATAACAGTTAAGAGGAGCAAATACTTTACCGACAAACGCGGTCCCGACATGACATAAAAACAAATTAGCAGACAGAGAACGTCTATTGCACGGACGATGATACCACTCTCCGACCACGTGAGAGCTTGTGTTGCCTACACTAATCATTGAAGGCAAACTGTCCTTTCACGACGACAATACCGTCATTCAACCACGTAGAAACTCGTGTTGCCTACCTTGAAATTTAAGGTGAACTGAAATGGCGTTACTGTAATCTTTTCCTGTTTGATAAACTTTTTCTTTTTTTCTTTTCTTTTCAATTGGAGAGATCGGCAATCCATTTGATAAGTGTTCAGCACAATTTATGGTGAGAGGTTAGGAGCGTGAAGAGGGTCTTGATCCGGTAGACAAAAAAAATGTAACATAACCTATAACCTACCAATGTGTGATTAGATTTTTTTTTTTTTATCTTAATCTCAATTTATAAAACTCGACACATTTAATATTTAAAATTCAATTAATTTAAAATCAAATTCTTTGTCCGGCAAGGATGCATGTTACTGAATTAATTAGGATGAACTTAGATTAAACGGGATAAATGCAGTTTTATGCTTATCAATCCTTTTGCATCTGGAAAATGCAGAAACTTGGTATTACGGACGTTTACGGTTTGATGCGAATGAAACTCTGGGTCCTGTTGGTTTTTGGTTCGACAAAACATGCCTCTTCCACAATGCAGCTCTGAAATGTCAAATACTTTCAAAATGGCAGCATGCGAATCCACCCGTAAACGTCCGTAATACCAAGTCTCCACCATTTTCCTCGCCATTTTGAAGTTATTCAGAATTTCAAAAAAAAAAATAAAATTAGTGGGGGGGGGCTACGGGAGTTAGAAAAATGAGCTGGGAGGGGAGGGGTAGAATACATGCTGGCAAAAAAATTAGAACTAACCTGGCAATGATTATATATATATATGTGTGTGTGTGTGTGTGAGTGTGTGTGTGTGTGTGTGTGTGTGTGTGGGTGTGTGTGTGTGTGTGTGTTCCGTCCACTTGTCCGAGAAATGGAAATAAAACATCAGCTGATAGCAAACAAAGGTTACCAAGGAAACCAAGGAATGGAACTTTCATAGAAACAGTTTAGTGGAAAACAGCGTAAGTAGGGCACTTATAGTCCAGGCAATAGAGCTAGAAATAGGAGGTTTGACGGAAAGTTTAGTCGAACTAGCAATTATGGGCTAACTCTATGTTTTTTGGGTCGTAGAAT